GCCGTGCCATGTTTGACCAGGGGCCACACGAACCTGCACCTGCTCCCGGAAGCTTGCCCTCACCTCACATTTAGAAAGCAGGGCATGAGCCTTGACATTCTCAGGTTCCCCACAGCTGTCTCCCGCCCACCTCTGCTGTCTGACCCCATTGGTGATGACGTGGGGGAGCAAGGATGCTCACAGCGCCCTCCTCACTCCCAGGGAGACTGAAGATGCTCCTCGGGCCTGAGGAGCAGGAGGCTCCTTCCCCTGTGTCTTGCCCACACTCTGACCCAGATCTATGCTCAGACGTCCCGGCTTTGCTCTGGTCATGCACAGCATTGCTTCATAAAGGCAGGAGAGCATTTTATCTCTACAAATTAGGCTGTCAAGACCACAGTTTCACTAAGGTCTTTTAAAAAGAGCCAAGCAGTGACCTCTTTGTTCCAGAGGCATACACTTTCATTTCCGCTTTCCTGAACACAAAAGAAAGGTGAGGGTGACAGCTTTCAAACCCAGATTTTTAAAATCATTTTAGGAGCCTAATGCAAAAGGTCAACCCCATCGGTCAGGGGCAGCAGGAGAACAGGTGGGGGATCCCTGCAGCTACCGCTCTCCCTGGGCCCACCCAGCTCTAGCAGTCCGTGGTTCTTTGACCCAGTGCAAGAGCTAGATCAATAGACAAATCACTACAGTGGAAGACAGGACCCAGAGAGCGCCACGGGAAAGGGGCAAGGGCCCCTAGGAGGTCAAACAGGGAAGAGGGCTCATCAATTAGAGCAAGAATTCTCAACATTTTTTTTTTTAACCCCTGGCCCTAGAATTACTTTCTCTCACCATCTACTATATAATTCCACTAGTCAAGGACAGTTTGTTAACTTCACTCTCGGCAATTTTATGCGCAAAAACAATAGACATGTTGATTTTTCAAGATAGGTTCTCCCTGGCCACTCCCCACCCCACTTCATACAGATTCTGAGGTTGGCCCAGCCGGAGGAGCGTGTTCCAGGGTTATTAAAATCAGGGGAGGCTTTACAGGTGGCACTGAGGCAGGGCTTGAAAGTGGGTGAGATCCAAAAGACAGAGGTGAGACACCTATCCTACAGAAAGGAAGCCTACAGCAGGTGCGCGGTGCGGGGGCGGTGCTCAGAGAGGGGCAGGGGCCAGGTTGGTGGCTGCGAGAGATGAGCCTGTGATGCCAGGCCAGGGAGTCTGAACTTGGAGATGAAAGCTGCTTCGAAGGCTGACTTGGGGCCCAGCAGAGGTGGTGTTTGCCCAGCTGCAAAGAAAGAGCTTGACCATCCAGGATGTGGATTCTCTGGTCTTTTTCTCCTCCATCCTTTCCTCTCCTACCAGCCATATCCCTGCCCCCAGGGACTGAGCTAAGCTTCCGTGATCCCTGTACTCTCCTGGAACCCTTCCTAGCACAGGCCTAGGACACATTCTGAGAGAGCTTCCATGAGGCCTAGAATTGGAAGAACAGAGGGATCAAATTTTCAAATACTATATTAATCAGTTCACAATCAACTACATGTAACAGAAAATCCAACTGAAAATTTACTTAAAACCAAAAAATAAATGTATTGGTACATGTAATTAGATCATCCAGAGGGGTGTTAGCTTCAGGGTGAGTTTGATCCAGAGATTTGTGATGTCCCTGATGACTGAGCAACATTTATGTGTGATTTTTCTCCACTCTCCTCTCCTAATGTATCAGGCTTATTCTCAGACTGAATTTCTTCATTCTTGCAGATCTAATGCCCCATGCTTCTTTTTGCATAACCCAAGAGACTTTCTTACCCCAACTTTTAACAAAATTCCCCCTCTGGTTGAACCGGTTTTCTGATTGGTCCAACTTACATCATAAGTTCTGAAACCAATCACCGTGGCCAGAAGAATCCTGTGCATTGATTGGCTTGGTCCTGGGTTACATGCCTTTTCCTTAGCAAATCACTGGGGTCAGAGGGATGGGAATACTGTGATTGGTTTACGCCAGTTAAAGACCAACCCCGGAGTAGTCCTACCCACATAAACTGGATGCTATCCAAATAGAGATGGGTGCATGGCTCTGGGGAGGCAGATAATGTTATCTACACATTTGCTTTTCTCAGAAATGTTGGGTAAGAGAGAAAAGAGATTAGAATTGGAAACTCCAAAGTAATTCAAGGATCACCCATAGACTTAATTCATCCAGAGCCCTAAGGTCACACAAACTGCCAGTGGGTGCATTCTGAGACTTACCTTTCTGTCCCTTCTCTTTTTATCTCCCTTCCTTGTCTCCCTTTCATGTCTCCTTATTCTAACTTCCTTTCTCATCCCCATTATCTTCCATCTCTCTAGGTGCACCCCCATCTGCCCCCCTCTCTCTCATCTCAAGCCCATGCCCTGTTCCCAGCTCACACCTCCAGCCCACTTTCCTCATACCTGAGTTCAATTTCATCTCATCCAAATTGCTTTATTGGTTCTGCAGAAAAACAAGGCTAGCTAGAGCCATTATGGGTGCATACGGTGTGCATTAGACTCAAAAAATATTTAAGGAAAATACTGTGGCAAATGGAATCAATAAACTGCAAATCAGACATTCACCCAGAAGAAGCGCACCTTCAGTTCAGCCTGCAGGAAACTGCTCACCATTCTGTAGAGGAAGCTGAGGCTGCCTCCGCCCCACCCGCAGGGTATATTGGCCAGAGCAAGCCAGGGACACCACATACCTGGGCTCCCTCTCCCCAGCGGCAGCTCTGACTGCACCTCCCCTCATTCCACAGATTCTCCTATCCGCCTGCTACAGAGCCCTGGGCCTTCCATGCCTGCTCCCCCAGTGCAGTGATCAGTGGCGCTGATTAAGAGAGGGAGATGATGGGGAGAGAGGGAAGGGGATTGGGGGAACAGAAGCATTCACACTGCAGTATTTTTAGACTAAAGATTAAATCTTTAATAATCATAATTTTTTCTTGAAAGAAAATGAGAGTTGGGTGTGTGGCGCTGGAACCCCCCACCTCCTCTGTGCTCTCCCTGCGGCAGAGAGGGAAGACAGCAGGAGGAAACACAGAAAGGAGAGAGGCCAGACCCCAGAGGGAAATCAGTACCACAGAACTGGGGTCAGGGTCCCCTTGTCTCCCAAGCTTGGTGGCTTCCAGGAGGGATGAGGCCTGGCTAAGGCACACTGGGAACCAGGGCAGTCTCCCAACCCCTGGAGGGGGGCGGGCATGATGGAGAGTTATTTGATATGCAAGAGGAGGGGACTTGTTCTAGGAAGCATTTTGTCTGCACCTTATTCTATCCAGAGTCTTCCATCAAAGCAGCTAGCACTGACCTCGCAGGCCCTCAGGAAGGGATCCCTTCCTCCAAAGGGGTTTTCCTTTGTGGATCCTCCACTCAGTGATATTCCCTGCACACCTGGGGAACCTGACTGCACCCCGGGTGGTCTAATGTCTTTGCCTTCCCCCTAGGACATCCAGTGAGAGTGTCACCTCACACAAGATACAGCAGTGCCCCTGCACCCTACAGAGCTGTAGAGTGTGGGGTGAGTGAGGAGAAGGCAGAGACAAGGTGCCAGGGGAAGAGTCCTGGCTCCTGCACCACTGTGTGAATTCGCACAAATCACCACCAGCAAGGCCTCAGCTTTCCAAAAGTATAGTGAAGGGATGGATCAAAGGATTTTGGATTAGGGTCCATGAATCCCCTGAATTTGCATGAAGTATGTTATCTGGGCACTTTCCTGGTAAGGGACTTTAAAAGGGTAGAATGCCCCCAAATTTGAGAATTGTAAGGAAATCCAAAGCCCAAGCAGCTCAAGTGTTCCAAGCCCTCCCAACCTCCAGGTGGGAGAGCTGGGCAGAGTCCCAGCTTTGTCCCCTTGAGCTGTACCTTGGCATGCCATCCTTCATACCCACTGCCACTGCCATGTGTGACCTCCACGGGGCTGCTGTGCCACTTTTATCTGTAGCCCATGTCCGCACACTGATCCCTTTGTGTCTTCTTTTTAGTAAAGTTTAGGTGCACTCAATTTATTACAATAAATTTTACTGAAATTGCAGGAAAATGAATAAAATACAAATGACATTAAGTTGGTCAGATTCTTAAAAACTTTACAAATCCTACTTAAGAGTATAAAAAAGCTTATTTGGAATGAAATTGCCTTCTGTTGGCTATCTTCAGAGATGGGCTCGTGACTTCATAGGACCTAGTTTGGGTAATTTCCCATCAAACTGCCTGTGTCCCTAAACTCATCATAGATGCCATCACCACAGAATTCCAAGAGTCATATCAATACTGGGCTCCAAAACGATAAACTCATATACATGTTGCTTTGTTCAAGGACAAACATCTTCTTTAACTGTAAGACTTTCCATTTTCTAAGTTATGGGGACTCTGGCAGGTGCTCAACAAATAGGTATTGACTTGATAAAGAAGTGAATGAATGAATTAGTAAATTTATCAAGGAAATTAATAAAAACTTTACTTCCATCCCTTCTCCAATGTCCATTTTCCCGAGTCAGGGCTCTATGGCTCAGATCCCCTCTAGGCCTAGGAATTTGCAAAGTCTGAGTTTCTGAACCCTTTGCCCCAGTGAGCAACTGATCCTTCCTGTGTCCGATCAATTCACTTTTGAAGCCTTCTTGAACTATAGGCAGATGTCTTCTTTCCTTTTTAGAACACTGAAATATTTCTTTTACCCTGTCCTTTCTCTGCTCTTTCTTCATCCCTCTAAGAATTCAATTAAATATAAACTACACCTTCTCATTTTGTCCTCCTTGCCTTTTATTCTCCATCATGTATTTCTCATCTTTTTATCTCTCAGTGCTATACTCTGGATAGTTTGCTCTGACCTAGATCCCAATTCAGTGATTTTCTCTTTAACCATGTCTAATCTGTTATTAAACCAATCTGTTGAGTTCTTAATTTCAGCTATTCTCTTTTTAGTGCTAGCATTCCTTTAAAAATATGTTACATTTTGAGTTTCCAGTTCTCTGTTGAAAATTTCAAGTTATTTTTCGTTTGTTTGAACAAGTTAAGCACAGTTGTTTCAGTCTATGTTTAATGATTCCAATATCTGAAGTCCTTGTGACTGTTTCGTTGTCTCTGATTTCTACCAGTTCTTGCTCAGATTTGAATGTTTGTTGAACATCCACCTGGCCCGTCACTACGACCCTCTGAGAGAAATTTGAGGATGAAGGACATTCATTCAAGGGGCTGCTGTTCCTGATAGTTGCCATCTCACATTGTTGTCCAAAGCCCAGCTAGAAAACAACTCAGAGAGGCATGTAATTGGGATTGATTCTTACCAACATCTACTCCACCCTTGGAAAATGAGGAAGTGTACTAGGGGACGGGGGTGGAGGGACTCTCTGGGAAACATGGATCCTGCTGTATCACAAGCTCACCAAGCCATGATCCCCACTAAGGGCAGTAACACCTGTGTCCTGAGTGCCTGGAGCAGGGGACACTTTCACCTGAGCTTGGCTGGAGCAAGGCAGGGGTGGTGAGATCAGACTTCAGGGGTGGCAAGCCTGTCACTCAACAGAGCAACATTCAGGCTGTTCATGTATGTTATTTAGTAATTTGCATGTTGTTTTAAAATATAGCTCAGAACAAACCATTTGGACCCATTTTTAAAATTCAAGAGATTTTAGCTTCTTAAAAGACCAGAGCTTCTGATAATACTGAGCCTTAATTCCAGGAGGTAGCAGTCAGCCAGAGCCGAGGAGCTGCTGCCCCTTAAGAGACAAGAGCTCTGCAGGAGTGGCAGTTGCCACCACTCAGGAAACAGGCGTGTTTGCACTCACTCTGGCCACTTCCCCTGGCACTTAATTACTGCCTGGCCCCGCAGGAATTTAATGTTTCTGTGCTTGACCTACAGAAAAGACAGTGTGTGACTCTGAACCCTGGGAGTTTCTAAGGCCAGAGAAACAGAGCAGAGACAGAGAAGAGCAAGAGATCAGAGAGGCAAAGGAACCTTCCAGAAGCCCCCTGCTAACCCTGGGAGGAATGCACCACAGAGCCGGCCTCTGCCCAGGCCAAGCAACTGTCAGATACAACTTGGCCATTTCTTACCAGACAAGCATGGGCAACTCATTCGCTATCTCTGAGCACCCACTTTGCCATTTGTAAAGTGGTGATAGTTCCTGACTTAGGGACTGTTGTGAAGTCACAGTTAGTAACCATGGAGAGGTCTACCTCACATCCTGTAGATAACAGACATTCCTGGCACCCCCACTCATCCCTACCAGCACACTACCTATGCACCCTTAGGATCAAGACTCCTGGGCCAGAGTCGACCTCATTCCCTTTGATAGCTAAAGGATCTGAGGCCCAAAGAGGTGAGTGAGGTTCCTCTTAATGACTGAGGATAAACATCCACCCTTAGCAATGACAGAGTCTGCCAAAGCCATTTAGGCTCAAAGACAGGACAGATCACAGTCAGGAGCAAGGCTTCCTAGAGGTGGCAGCTCTAAGCAGGATTTGCAAAGAAAAGTTGCACACAATCAGTAGGGAGAGGAGTTTTCTTAGGTGCTGCCTCCCCACATGCAGGATTTGAAACACCGAAACAAAGTATTTTACTGTCTTTGATCCCCAAATAATAGCTCAACCACTGTGTCTACCCAACTACCCTATCCAAAGGAATAGGTTCAAAACAAAGGCCCTGGGCCTCCTTACTTTTCCTCCCAACTGGAAGTGGACACACACACACACACACACACACACACACACACACACACTTCTTTATCTTTTATTGTGGACCCTTACATTACCAGCTCATTCTTCCTACAGAGAATCCCCAAACAGATAGAGAATTAGACACCCCATGTGAACTGCACTTCCCATAAGGCAGTGATCAAAGCCGTCTACTTACCTGGGAAGTAATAAGGCCCTGGAAGGAGCTGCCTCCTAGAGCCAGCCCCTGCCTCTCTGGCTCCTTCCTTTGCTTTTTCTAATGAGTTTTAAGCTGGGCCCATCCCCCTGGGGACAGTAAGCAAATATCACAGCTTCCTGGAGTTCCTTCTTTGCCACTTGCTGCTCTCTGCTGGCCCCTCAGAAGGGATTTGGGGACCCTTCCACCAACAGGCCCCCTCCCAAGCTCTCCTTTTCTTCTAGGCTTCTCCTCAGGCCGGTCTCGCCCCAGGATCTTATAGCTGCCATGCTCACCACCAGCACACGCGATGTGCACATACATGCACACTCACCCACACACGGGTTCTCCAACCGCTTCATGGGGCTCTCTCTCTCCTCTGCCTTTGCTGCAATATGGCTTTTCTCCCACCACCTGGGCACCACTGTGGCCAAAGCTGCACTCAGTTCTCAGTCCTCCTCTGATTTGCCCTCTCAGTAGCCTTTGACCCAAGCAGGCACCTTCTCACCTGAAGCAGTTCCCTCTCTGGCCCTCCCTGACCCCTGCAGGCCTCGTTATCCCGGCTCAACCGACTGCATCTTAGTCTTCCCTCCTGGACCGACCTCCACATGCTGGAGTGGCCGGAAGTCCTCAGGCTCAGAGCACAGTTCCACCACCTCCTCACCCAACTCGCTCTGATTCTCATTCTTATAAATCTTTGCTAACCTGAAAGCAAAAAACTGTTTCATTGTTTAAATTTCCGTTTTTGTTTTTTTTCCTCTATTAGTGGATTTGATAAGACCTTGTAGGCCATGGTAAAGGGTTTGGATTTATTCTACACAAATCCATGGAGTGACTTGATCAGATATTCGTGTAACACGTCCCTCTGGCTGGGGAGAGGGTGCTGAGCAGAAAAGAGATGCAGATGAAAACAGGAAGACCTCAAAGCTCAGCTGCTGCAACCATGCCAGCAAGCCATGGTGCGCGTGGGCAGGCCGAGGAGGGGGACCTGCACCTGCCGGTGGCTGGGATGCTGGAACCAGAAGAGGAAGGATCAAAGGAGACTCTCAAGTTTTCAGCCTGTTGTGGTTTGGATCTTAAATGTCCCTTAAGACCTTGTGCTAAAGGCTTGGTCACCAGCCTATGGCCTTAGTAGGAGGTAGTGCAGCCTTCAGGAGGTGAGGCCAGAGAAGGAGAGAGGTCACCAGGGATGTCCCCTTGAGGGGGATGTTGAGGCCCCCCTCTCCCTTCTGTTTCCGCTTCCTGGCTGCCATGATGTGAGCAGCTTTGTTCTACCCATGCTCCCCACCAGGATGTTCTGCCTCTCTGCAGTCCCAAAGCGATGGGGCCAAGCAACCAGGGACTGAAACTACATGTCAAAATGAATCTTTCCTCCTTTCAAGTTGATGTCCTCCGGTATTTTATCACAGTGCCTAACAGGCCACAGGCTAGGGTTTGAAAGTGTCTCCCAAAGAGCACATGCTGGAAATTTAACCCACCATGTGAGTATCAAGGCTGGGCCGAGTGGAACACGCCTGTAATCCCCACACCCCAAGAGGCTGAGGCAGGAGGATCATGTGTTCAAAGTCAGCCTCAGCAATTTTATGAGTCCCTAAGCAACTCAGTGAGACCCTGTCTTTAAATAAAATATTGAAAAGGGCCGGGGATGTGGCTCAGTGGTAAAGTGCTCCTGGGTTCAATACCTGGTACCAAAAAAAAAAAAAAAAAGAAAAGAAAAGAGGTGAGACCTTTAAGAGGTGATAAGAGCCAGAGGGCTCTGCCCTGATGAATGGATTAGTGCTGATTATAACAGGACTCATGGCCACTGGTTGAGTCTCTGATGTCTCACGCACTCGCTGCTCTTCTGCTTTCTACCATGGGATGACACAGCAAGAGGCTCTTGCCAGAGGCGGGTCCTCAGCCTCAGCCCAGCCTCCAGAAATGTACCAGAGCTTTTTATTTTATGGCTTACCCCATCTGTAGTGTTCTGTTACAGCAATATCAAATGGACTAAGATGTCTTACTGTTGAGCCCTGGAGAACCTTTCCAAGTGATGGGGAGAATGCTGACAGGTTTCTGGAGGAACAGGCAAGAGGGTCTCTGCTGAAGAGGCTGATTTCACACTGGTTGCAACTCATCTTCCTTCCTTCCATATCCTGCCTCTCCTACAGAGATTGACCCTGGCCTTTAAAAATGACTTTTGGGGGAGATGTATCTCAGTGGTGGTGCACTTGCATGGAAGGTCGTAGGTTCTGGGTTTAATTCCCAGTACTGCAAAAAAAAAAAAAATTGCTTAATTAGAAAACTATGTTTTTATTATAAGATATTTGAGGAATACTGAACTGTAGGGAAAAAAACTTCAAACTGACCGTAAGTGAGCCAGGAAAAGTTACGATGAACATTCTGGCATTCTGTTTAAGCAGAAAAAAAATATGATTTTCTTCCACCATATCATAGTATATTTTGAGATTTGTTTCCTGATTTTATCTTCAAGTAAGATACAACATAAGCATTTTTCTGTGTTAGTAAATCGGCTTCTAAAACAATCATTCTCCTAAGCACACGGCAGCCCTGTCTACGTGAGCATCGTTTACTCGGCCCTCTCCTTGTGACTGATTCCGTGGTTTCCAGTCTGGTATTTATAACTAAAACCTTAATGAGTGGATTCACACATAAATCTCTGTGTGCATCTGATTATCCCCTGTGGTGGCCTTGCTGGCCCAAGAGTTAAACCTCTGTAAGGTTGTGGATACCTACCTCCTTGCTGAAGCCCTCATCTCAGCCACCGTCATCTCTCTCAGTCACTGCATCCAGGGGCTCCTAACTCCTTGATGCTTTCTCTATTATGCCTTGAACTATGGTCATAGCAGCTGGAGCAACCTCTGTAAACAGTGACAGCCAATAGTGTGTGTCACCCTTCAGAATACCCTGCAGGCTCCCCTGGCTGGTGGGTGCACCAGCATTTGCAGGCTATCACCCAGCCACCTACTCCTCCAGCTGCTTCCCATCATGCTTCTCTCATTGGGCTTTGCTCAGTTCATCAAAAGACCTCTTACCACAGGACCCTTGCACATGCTGTTCCAACTGCCAGAACCTTGTTATCCTCTTCTTGTAACTCATTCTTACCACTGTTGACTCAAGTTCAACACCACCTCCTGGAAAAAACTTTCTCTCACCTCCCTCCCTCACCCCAGCACCTTTTTATTTTGTTTAAGTCTCTTCATATTTTGTAAATATTTAGTTCCCCTTTCAATTCTTAATTTTCATTTTCCTTTGCTGAATGGTATGCTCTGTCAGGGCAAAGACTTGAGTTTCAGTCAATACTGTCCACCCAGGTCCTAACCTGGGGCTTGGCAGAAAGTAGGTCATTGATCAATGTCACCAAATTCTTTTCCAAAGAACTTGAATTCTGGAATCTCACGTTACCTTATTAATATGTACAGCTCTTCATACCAATTAAATATTATTTTTTAAAAAAGGTAAATATGAAAAAAAAATAAAATAAAAGGCTGTCCTCAGTTACACTTCCACCCTTAGCACATGAGAACGCAGGTTCCCTGTCAGTTCTCCAGCCCTGGGTGTTGTGCTTTAAATTTTTTTTTTTCTTTTGCAAGTCAGATGGCAAAAATACTTCATTGTGGGAAGTTGATTATCTTGGTAACTAGCAAGGGTGGACATTTTTAAATGTTTGCCCATCATGTGGGGGGCTCAACAATAAGAAAGCCTGTTCATGACCTTGGATTATATTTCTTGTTTTTAAAACCATCCCAGGAAACAAGGTGCTCTGGCCTTAGCTTCTGAACTCTTCTAGAAGAAGGCAGTTGTTCCCAAAGTCTAACCTCAATCCTGCTTCCTTTTTTAAAAAATACATTTATTTTGTTTATTTATTTTTATGTGGTGCTGAGGATGGAACCCAGGCCCTCGCACATGCTAGGCGAGCGCGCTACCGCTGAGCCCCAACCCCAGTCCCCTTGCTTCCTTTTTTGATCTGCCTGTCCTGGAGCCCTCTGGGAGCTGGTGAGAAAGCACGTAAGTGACAAGTGCCTCTCCACCTTCTCACCCGGCGGCGTCCCTCTCCTGCCTCTGCTGCCCAGTGGGGAGGAGCACAGCGTGTCTCTGTCCCCACACCCCCAGTGCCGAGCAGCAGATTAAGCGATTCGATTCAGAAGGCAGGCTGCTCTGGTGAGATGCAATCATCTCTGACTAAAATCTCTTTTTCAGATATATAATGGTCTAATCAATATTAATAGAGAGGCTTATCTGTTTTCCTCATCTCCCGTGTCCTTAAGAGTAGATAAAATGCTTGTAAAATAGGATCCTATTCAGCATATACTGATTGCTTCCAAAACGCATTTTCTCGAGATCTGTCATCAAGTGGGAGTCATTACAGAACAGCCAGGCCCAGCGCCGCCGTTGACAAATTTTGGGAAGATTCTTTGATTATTTTGCCCAACATGTGATTTAAGGGCTGCAGCTTCTCTCCCTTCCAAATTTGTTCTTGCCTGTCCCGAAGGGGGATCCTGGAAGAGTTTTAAACAAACGGAGGCTCAGGGTGGGCTCTGGACCTCAAGTCTGGTTCTGACCCTGGAGGGGTTCCATGGGCCTGCTGGGGGGTGGGAGCGGCCAGCAGACTTCTGCCCAGCTTGGGAGGGAGGTGGGCCAGGAAGAGGACAGGGCAGTGTCAGCAGTGTGGACAGGCTGGGACATCGGCTGTGCCCTGGGCGAGACCA